AAACTTTGTAAGCGGCAGGATCAAGAGTCAATATAGACTGAAAACACCATGCTGAGGATGAGCATGAACAATACTGAACTGAGAAAAGCTACATTTTTGTAATGCAAATTGGTTAGTCTTAATTTTAGACAGACAGACCAAATGCTGATTCCTATTTAGTACCATTTTAGCTGAAGCAAGAGACCTACTTCAACTTATTTTAAGCCTTCTAATTGAATTAGATACACCTGCTATTACAAATCATGAAAGCTTAGGTGGAACAGGTGAGTCAGGGAGGCTTACATTTGGTTTGGTTGACAGGTTCTAAAGCTCTTGAGCAAAGAGTTCATTTGGTTCAGATAGAAAGAACCACTCAAGAAACAGCCCTTTATTGCAAGCTTCTGTCACAACCGAAAAATGCATAAACAATTTGGAATCCCCATATTATCCTTGGAAGGTCTAGTTTTACACATGTATATATGATATTCCACTGCTATTTAATCACACCTCAGCTTGAATCTTATTATTGCTTTCCCCATTAATCAAACTTTGAACGAAGCCAAACTTGTGGTCCTGGTGGAATGTAAAAATATATTTTTTGTTCATTTTTTGTGTTGAGGTAAACACATTCAACATCACGAGGTATCCAAACTGTGAGCATGTGCTGCTTGTTCCAATAATAATCTGCTATTGTATGGCAGCTTCACATGGTGTTTTATGTGCATGTGCACAAATATTTTACTGTGTATATCACACAAGGATTGATGCAACTTCCTACTGCATGTAGAAGTACTGGTAAGCTCATGTTTGTGGCTGTAAAATGGGTGGAGTAGTCCAAAGATTCATAATCTTCACAATGAAGCAGCCAAACAGGCAAGCAAAATGAGGAAAGCAGCTTATTGATACTTATGCTGGAGACTTATGATGGAATCTTATGCACTCCCATGTTGGGCTTACTTCTGAATAAATGTGTTTAGGGCTGTGCTCTTTCTTTCTTTCCTTATACGAGAATTAGCCTAATAACAACTCACATACATCACATTTAAAATGCCTATTGAGACAAAAGATGCAGAATTCATGGCTACAGATACTTACACACTTAATGAAATTGGAATCATCTAGGGCTAACAGAAGAGCAATCAAAGAGCAAAATGGTGAGCATGTGCACATCTTGTTTGGTGAGTCATTTAATCATCGATCAGCTGATAGTGATCTGGCCTATATTTACTACCTTTTGATCATAACAAGGCCTTGAAAACCCTTCAGGAAAAATAAATGAGATCCTATCCCAGCGGACTAGTGTCATGCACATTCCCACTAAACCATCCAACCCATAGTAGTCAAGACATGGCCCTTGTTTTACTGTGCATACAAGATGGTCAGTTATTTGTGGATAGTAAATTTGTTGGCATTGGTCCAACTAAAAATCTTACAATGGGCTGCTCACTCCCCAATGCATTCTGCCACAGAATCACCCTACCGAGATCCATGAAAAATATTTAATATCCTTGAGGCATCAATGCAATTTTTGATTGATTAGGGCAAGAGAAAAGAGAAAGTGATGAACTGGTAGGGAATATGAAGAATAGGCTAGGCTTACATTAAAGGGAAAGGAATAAATTTTGTTTTCCCTTTGCACATCTTACATAGGACCATTTGGTGGGACTGGCAAATAGGTTGTTCTTCCTAAAGTCTCCCATGCCACTCCAATGTTGCAGGCTTCATGTCTGTTCCAGGCATGTTACCTGTTCCAGACTTTTAATTGGCAGTGCCATGGTTGAATCTGGGAACCTGGGCTTACAATGCCTATGCTCTACCACCACATCCCTTTCCTTGTTCTGGGGGCCACATTTCTGCCTTACCTCATCATATCAACTCATTGTTCTGATTCAGTTAGACCAGCAACTACATTTTTCACAGCTGCTCCCAGAAAGCTGCCCCTGAGAGGCCCTCAGCAAAGCAGATGAGCACATGTCACTGATAAGATCATGTCGTGGCTGCATTTGCAGAAAGGGATCCATTTTATTTACAGGTATGCTTCCAGGAAGCTGGCACGGTTCCTGAGGCACACAGATAGACAAAGGAGATACCTATCTCCCCATCTAACTGCACAGAGTAGAAACAAGACACTGCTCTCAACCCAAAAAAGAAAAAGAAAAATGCATGTAGAAATAAATCACCTTTTGATTTTTTGCACTGCAGGCAACAGCTGCCCCCTTTTGGTAACTGCGAAACTAGGAAACTGCTTGTGGCTATTAACATACCATCACAGGCAGCTAGTCCAGGACTGGGAGGAACTGCGCACAAGGTTCTGTGGAAAAAATGGAGAAAGCCTTGTCAGCTCATTCGAGAGTATCTAAAAGTCACAACAGAGTAATATCTTTCTGGGAGCAAATACAATGTAATAGTCATCAAGCTTTCAAGTTCTCCAGAACTCTTTTTAAGGCTGCATGTTAATGAAGGTGGGACTGCAAACTCTTGGGGTTTTGCCCATTTTGCTTCATACCATGGGAGGAGAAGGCAGGATAGCTGCCCCCCATTCAAATACATACATACATACATACATACATACATACATACATACATAAGAGAGACAGAGGAAGATGGCAGGCGAGTGTCGTGCCCCACCACCTCAACATAAATCCTGGCTACGTCCATGCTTCATACCCAAGTCTTGCAGAAGAGTTCTGGAGAACTTGAAAGTTTGAGAACTGTTTCATGATATTTTAGTTCCGTGAAAATCTACAACTGTTATAAACACTGAGTGGGTGGAGGGATGGTGCAAGACTCCCGAAGCCCCCACCCCGCCCTACGTTGCGCAGTTTCCCCCCCTAAAAGTTGCAAAACGTGCCACCAGCTGCGTTCGGACCGTTGCGCGTCTTCAGGCGCTGGTGCGGGAGGCGCCTTCATTTCAAAGAGCAATTCCTGGAGTCCCAGCGCCCAAATGCATTGCTGCGGATCGAAAGAGAAAGGATGCTGAAATTCAAGCCCCGCCGGCAGGCTCGCCCTCTGTTACTTCTGTGCTTGCTTTCCCAATGCCAGGACCGTCCGGGGCATTCACTTCTCTCCTCCCCTCTTCATCGGATGGGTCTGCCGGATTTCTGTCCCCGAAGCGCCGCTTGCTCTGCGCCACAGATCTCCAAACTGCTGAGCGCAGTGCCAAAACCATGCGCGGTGTCCCCCTTGCTCTGACCCTGCACGCAGATTTCATTTTACTTTTGCTTAGGGTTTGCAGCCTCCCTACTGTAAACTCGCGGCTCCCTTTGCAAATCGCGAACGAGGCGCTCGTGGAACTTACCGCTTCCCTTGCGGATCCCCAGACGGAAGCAATGGAAGAGCAGAGCGATCTTTGCAAGACGGAAGGCGAGGTCAAGTTTTATCCCTCCACCTCCAGGTGCTCTCTACACCTAGCCGTTCTTTTCTCTCCCCTCCCCTATGTCACGGACTGCGCTGCAGCGCAGGCAAATCTTGCATCGGCCGCTCAGCCCCAATAGTGGCCGTGGGGCACTATTCTCTCCTCCTCCGGCGAGGCGCAGAGACAGCTGTTGCGATCGCCGAAGCGCCTTAACGCCTTCCGACGGCTGTTGCGCTTGCACCGATCCTGGACTACGAGCGGACAGCCTGGCGATCCCAGAAAAGCCCCTTCTTCCCCTCCTAACCTCCGCCTCCCGCCCCGTGCGCACTTTTGACCGGGTGCCCGCGGAAGGAGGCGCGAATGACGCGCTGATCGACGCCCCCCTCGCCCTCCAAACCAAGCCAACCTCGAGGCTTCGGGCGGAACTCCAGCTGCTGCCCATTTGAACGTCGAGAGTGGGAGGGAGGCGCTTCCCAAAGGAGCGGCGGGGCGGGTGGCTTCCTGACCCAGAGGAATGTACCTTTAAGGTGAGGAATGCCGGCCAGGAATGTCAACAAGCAATTACACACTGGGGTCAGAGCTAAAGCCAGAGGACACTGGGGGCACAGACCCACCCTACTTTGCTTCCCTTTCAGGCTGCTGGGGCAAAGCATGTCCTCATAGACGTGGATTTAAAGTGCTTCCCTCACTCATTGCCTGTGGTGTGGGCTCTATCTCGACTAATGTTGGAGTTGATTCTAAGGAAATTGACTTGTTTTCCATTTACCAAACACTGGCTAACGTTTGATGGAGCTATCCCAGTCTAATGTCCCCGCAAGTATGTTATCATGAACTACAGCCACAATTCTCAAATCCCCAATCATCCCATGGCTCATACATAAATGCATGCATAGTCTCCCAAGATGCTTATTGAACCTTTACACATTTACTCCTAGAAAGCGCCTTCATTGCTGTGGAAAGAATAAACCAAAGGGGTTCTCAGACTGTTAGGCTTGCATCCATTTTGATCAGGGATTCACAATGGTGGTCTGCGGTGGCTGAAGACAGGAGATAGGGCATAATCAAATTAAGTATTCACTCTGCTTCTTAATTGTATTTCAATTGCTTTTCTTTCTTATATTCTATTATAGTTTGAATTCTATGGAATTTGGATTGCAATACAGTAACAGGCAATAAGTAACAGCCGCAGCAAATAAACTACAATTAAAGCTTTGACTGCATCTAGTACAGCATATTACAACTGCTACAACAGGCAGAAAAACTATTAACTGGTGTACAAAGACTCAGGTGTGTGTGTCAAAATGTTTGGAACCACTGACCTAGATGTAGCACAGCTCCCTGCCTTGTGACAGGGGCCCACCAGCGGAGAGACCAGAGAACAGGTAACACTCTGTAACTATATGAGTGGGCTATTACCACCTGCAGGCAGATCCCATTGTAGCAGGCTTCAGCGTAAGCTTATCCTGAGGACTAAATAAATTAAGTGATCATGGACCTTGTTCATCTGCAGAAGTTGTGTAGTTACATTTAAATTCTAGCCTTTGCTAGTAACCTAGTCACAACGTGAAGTGTATGATCAATTCAGAGCTGCACTTCTCTGTGATTGAAGGCCATGCACAAACAGGCTCAAGAGTAAAATGTTTCGATGTAAAGAAGATTCACAGCACAATCTTACGGATGTTTATTCAGAAGTAAATCTCACTGTGACCAATAGGACTAACTGAGCAATTCTAACCTGCAGCTGCATATGAAGACCTGACAGCCAGGGGGCGGAGGAAGAGCAGAGTTTCTCCTGCTTTTTGCTGCATCCACTGAGTTGACTCAACAGTGCCTGGGAACTGGGTCCTGCTTTGTATCCCATATCCAAAGCCTCCATCACCTACCTCCAACCTGAAACAGGGTTTTGTGCTAACTATCAACAGTGGGAGAACCAGAGGCAGGAAGTTGTCACCTGCCCAGATTCAGCAGCAGTCTCTGCACCTAAACACACACCATCCTTCCCAGCACATCATCATCAGGAGAGGGGTGAGGATTGCAGACTGGGTGAGTTTAGCAGGAGTAAATAATAATAAATAATAAAATAAATACGGTAATAAAAACAAAGAGAATCAACATACATTTCCCCCCCAAAAGGAAAAAGGGTTCAAAAAATGAAAAGAACAAACAAACCCACAATTCTACTAGCTACAATAGCTAAACAAATCTATTTCTTTATGTGAAGTCCTAAATACTTCTGAAAAGCCATTTTAAAATTAGACACATAAGAAACTTAAATACAGATTTTTAAGCCAAATAATTGAGGCCTTTATGGGCTACTTAATGGGGACGAAGATTTAAATGAATTGTCGTGTCCGGACTGAATAATTTCTTAAGAGATTGAAGTAAAAATCCTTCTATCCAGAAGGCATCATGCCTTTAAACTTCTGATCAGATCAACACAGAGGAAGCTGATCTTTGCAACTTGAATAATGATAAAGATGCAATTGGTTACACTGATAAGGGATGAGAGAAAGAAAACAAACACTGCCCAGACCATCAGCTGAAGGCAAGCATGAAATCCAAAATGCAAGACAGGAAATAAACCTTGATTTATGTACTTAAGTAGTTACATTCTGACATGTCAACAGAATGTATTTTCAACTAAATGGTTTAAGATTACAGGCTTAGGTTAGAGTGAACAGTATGGATTTCAACAGTACTCAACAACTATACTATGCTGTTCATTCCAACACAGCTTCTTCAAAAAGCTTTATCATTTCAGGAACTTTTTCTTCACCAAAGCGATCTTTTAGGAGAAAATAAATAATCTGTTCAAGCTTTGTAACCTATGAAAGGGTAGAAAAAACAGCCATTATAATGGAACAACTTTGTCTTAGGCCTGGGCGGTGCGTTTCACATCAGGTAAAACTGGTAATGCTCAGTGAAAGGACCCAACCAAAAACAAAAAAGAGGTATTCCTGCCACACACAAAGCCAAAAAAATAAATTCCCTCCCCACAAACAGGCAAGGCCAGCAAAATGCACACATCAACAAAACCAAACATGGGCAGCTTCCCAGAGTGGCTGGGGAAACCCAGCCAGATGGGCGGGGTATAAATAATAAATTATTATAATTATAAAACACTCCTAACAAAAAATGGAAAAAATAAGCAAGCACACAACACACATACTAAAATCAAGAAAAAGCACACTTAGCAAAACCTAAGCTAAATAGTTTGTAATACTCAAACCTGTCTACATCATGATCTCAGGTTGAATGCAAATGCACCTTCTGTCAGAAGGGAGCTTTTGGATCCAAACTCATCTCTCAAAATGAACCGAAATATACTGAAAATCAGTTGGAAAGCTGATGAAATGCAGTAACATTTTGAAGTCAATATTGTTTGCCATCCAAATTTCAGCTAGAAAACAAATGCTTAAGTTTTATTTAGGAGAATAAAGTGAGCTGGGCAGCAACCTCTTAAAAAACATGTTTTATACCAGTGTCTGATGTTTCCATAACTGACAGTCTTGCTACCTCTTCAACATCCATGATGCAGTCTGAGCAGGGGCAGCCTGTCTTGTTTCACCACCTGAGGCAAAATGGGAATTGCTGCCTCCTTCCCCTGCCCATGGCACCCCACTTCTGCCACTGCTGTGCCCGGGCTCTTGCTGAACTTGGCAGGATCCAAGGTGCTCCTCTAAGTGTTGCCAAGCCACAAATGGCATGCAGGAATTCCTTGGCTCTTGCCAAACTCAGCAGGATCCACGGTGCTGCTCACTTGACTTCTCTGGCTGACAGCAGCAACGCTGTGAGCCAGAACACCTCCCTCTCAGTGGCAGAAGTGGTGGGGTGGGTGGAGCGCCGCCTCTGGCACTTCTGCTGCCTGAGGCAAGCGCTTCACCCCGCATCATGGGCGGACCAGATCTGGTCTGAAGGTGGATACAAAATACCAAAACAAAACAAACTTGCATTGGCTCTGCAAGCAATCAGGATTTGGAAACAAAGAGAACTTCAACTCCAAATTGAAACTTACTTGCTTTCTCAGCTCCATACAACAGCACTTAGTGTTCTTTACACATCCTGAAAGAAAAACAAATATATATAGCGTCTTGTAACACCACTGAACAGCAATAAGGCTGCCCATAGCAAGGCATTTCCAATTTTGTAAAATAAAGTACCGACTAAAAATTTGTGTTATGTGGTAACAAACTTTTCAAATCTTTATAGTAAGTATGTGGGTTACATTTTAGCAAGAAATTACCTCAGGGTAAATTACTTACGATTCTCAATCTTGCTATCTTTTGCCGAGTTTTCGATTACTAGTTCATCAGCTACATTCATAGTATTAGTTCCAGATTTTTTTTTGACAGTTACTATATGAATATTCTTATTAACTCCTTTCACTGTAATTGTCACACACTCATTCAGTAAAAAACTTTTCAGCTTCTCTGCTGCTAAGCTGGAGCACTTTCCATCCAGTTCCATAATTCCTAGAATACAAATAAACCTTAAATTCAAATCTATGCTACTGACAGTTTACAATTCTAGTGCTTATAAATCTGACAGTTTACATTGCTTTTCTTAAAATCAGTGCCATTAAAATAATGAAAAATACTCCGTTTATATTTAAATACATTTGCAATCCTTCTTGCACATGAACTCTGCCACCACAAGAATAGTTTTTGCAACGTTTTTAAGACAGGGGTGGGGAACCTCAGACCTCAAGGCCAACTGTGGCCCTTCTAGTCCTCTGTCTGGCGCTTAGGATCTATCCAGACCCCACCTCTTCCTCAGCCAGTGTTTCTGCCTAGCTGGAATGTGCCCTTGAAACTTTGATAATGCCTCTTGCTTGCCTGGTTGGAGGATAGAGGAGTGTGTGAATGTGTGCAAAACTACCCTACAGTCAAAGAAAACATTTATGTTTGCACCTGCTTTTACCTCTGGCATGTGCCCTATGGAACATTTGACAATTTTAATTTCATATTTACATTCCACTTTTATTCTCCAAGGGATTTCCACAAGAAAATTACAAGATAACATTAGCACTGCTTATTAACACATTAAAATTCAAGGCTCTGTATACATGTGAATATATATTCATATTAAGGCATTTGGTTTTTTTACAAATTGCTCTAGCTGGTTTGCTACCTGCAATGGAACACTTGAGTATCTGAAAAGGTAGTTCCAAGTAGGGGGCAGTTATAGGTAGAAGCCTAGATAATGGCAACATTTCCACATTTCCATAGTCTGCATATGCCACTTTTACTTCTGATACACAAACTTCCAGAACGACAGCACGGTACCAAGTGTCATCACCTAAAAAAGTGAACAAAATTTAAGACTTACCATTTTACGTTTTAAGAGGCTTACCATTATGTGAAACTGTATATCCTGCTTAAAAGAGATTTCTCTTAAACCTGAAACCAGTAAGCATTTCCCTAAAAGCTAGATTTTCACAACTTAAGGAGATTTGGAAATTATGATTCACTGGACTGCCTTTAGATGATGTGATACTGCTTGATTCACATTATTTGGCAACCAGAAAAGTCAGCTTACTTGTGAGGAATTTACATTACAAGTTCACACCACTTGGCCAGAAAAGATTAAAAAAGACTGCAGAGTGAATAGCATGCCTCCCTAGTTTGAACCTAGACAAAGTGCCCCTAAATGCTGAAATACTATCACTGTAGTTCTGGACATGTGTCTATTGCTCTATCAGTACATAGATGAAAACAGCAATAGGGATTTTCAAGTCTTGGTTGTATGGCCGCTACTTCTTATGTTATTACCACCAGGGTAGAAGAGATCTCTACAGTTAGAAACAGCCACACCAATTAAAGATGCTGTTACTTGTTTAGCAACCCAACTCTGGACTATCTTTCTCCTAAGGAGGCAACTGATTCATTGGACCCAGAGAAAGAAGCGAGGATGTATGCTGTCAAATTCCGTGCCCCCAAAAAAGAATTAGATGCTTCAGATTACTGAAGGGCTGTATGTATAATCCATTTGGGTGGTCACTGTAGTAGTAAAGGTTACCACTTGATAATAGGGTCTTCACCATATTACCCATAGTATACTACCCAAGAAAATGGTTCTTTCCTGTGATACCATTTCATCCAACTAAGCTGTTATGCAAGAACTGGGAGTTACCTATTTTAAACATGATAGTGTGAAATTCAGCCATCATCTCCCTCTTGTAGACTACAAGCTCTATAGGCTTATTTTAGACATTTTAAGAAAGTAATTAAAATATTTTCCTTTTTTATGAAGTAATCTTAACATTTTCTAATACACAAACACACACACTTTTTCATTTTTTCACCTGTGAATCTGGCACAACAGGGTTCACCAACTTTTGGCTTGAAACTGGAATCATTCTGAGAATTGCAGTAATCTGCAAGTCCAGTCATTAGCTTATGGAGTCTCTGCAGATCCACTAAAACATAAAAGAAGTGTAATGTTTTGTATCTTCTACCACTCACCTATTCTGATAAAGTCTATGAGCAAATACATTCTAGCATCTAGAAGCATGCTACTTAAGCTAAATTTCCTTGGATAACATATTAATAATAATGTAGCGAATTTGCAAACCTAAAATATTTCCTTTAGTTTTATTTTTAAAAGTATGGTTATCAGTACTGCCTTTCTTTCTTCAGTAACTCAAGTTCCCAAATTATAAAACTTTCAACTAGTGCAGGTTTTTTTTTAAGTCCTTGCACACTTCTGGTGCAGATACGTAACAATGGGCTTCTTCAAATTGAAGTTTAACACACCATGGGGTCATGGTTTTAGAACAATTCATAAATAAACCATAACTCTCCAAATCTGAACGTCACATGGGGAACTTCTAGTCTTCTTACAGGCATTAAAAAGGGAAGGAAATAATGATCATTTGTGACCAGATTTTGTCGTGGTCATTTACATAGTGAAAAACATTGTTTTCTATTATGACTGAACGGGGCCCACATAAAGAAAATCTATGTCAACTTACAGCATTCTGTAGTCCTTACCTTTCATTTTTGTGGGTACAGCATAGAATAAACCAGGGTTTGTCACATCTAATACATGAACAGGCACAGTTTCACCAACCGGAAATTCTGTTGTTGTCCACTGTATGCATCCTGCAATATTACACACAAGCGAAAATTATCTGCTAAGCACTTTTATGCGGCTGACCTTGGTTATGAAAATTACCTGCCATTAGTTTCAGGATGGAGTCTACATTACAGAAAAGTGAGACCTGATCCCACCTGAGTATGGACACAGAGGATGCATACCGGTGGAACCCGAATCCCTGTTCCCCATCACCTGTGCATGCATGCATGCAAATAGCATGAGGATGCACACAGAAGAAGTGGACAGGGTTATGGAAGGCATGCATGGATCTTCCTGCTCCCTGCAATCGCCCCTTGCATTACCTGCATGCAAGCAGGACAGAGGAAACAGCTGGGGGAATCCTCCACATAAAGGCAAAAATCCACAGTGTTGGGCCCAAGGGATGCAATGTTTTGTATGTTTCCTTTCCCCTCATCAGTTTTTATTTCTTTTTTTCTTAGAATAACTTTGCAATTATCAGTAATTCTAGATTGTGATCCTTAGTAAAGGTAAAGGGACCCCTGACCATTAGGTCCAGTCGTGACTGACTCTGGGGTTGCGGGGCTCATCTCGCTTTACTGGCCAAGGGAGCTGGCATACAGTTTCCGGGTCATGTGGTCAGCATGACTAAGCCACCTCTGGTGAACCAGAGCAGTGCACAGAAATGCCATTTACCTTCCCACCCGAGCGGTACCTACTTATCTACTTGCACTTTGACGTGCTTTCAAACTGCTAGGTTGGCAGGAGCAGGGACCGAGCAACGGGAGCTCACCCCATCGTGGAGATTCGAACTGCCGACCTTCTGATCGGCAAGCCCTAGGCTCTGTGGTTTAACCCACAACACCACCCGCGTCCCCATTGTGATCCTTAGTAGGCATCAATTAAATATCCATATTGCTGAAGATATAACAAAAAAAGCCACGGAAATAGTAGTAGGGTATACGTACCAACATATATTGCCAGACAACGCATCTTTGCCTTTGAAGCTTTACAAAACAGATTATTTATGTGCTAATTGTTCTGACAATTATATGCTGCCACTTATAAAAGATGTGAAGCCAGTGGATGGGCACAGTCAGCACTGGACAGTGCTTTTAAATAAGACATACACAACTCTCTCACACACCATCAATGCATAATTCACATGTACACACTATATACACTATCTCCCCACTAGCTGATCTGCACAGGAAGTAGTGGGGGAATGGATGTTCTTGATGCTGTGTGGGAACACCAATCTTGTCTGGATCAGAAGCTTTTGAGGAGGAAGTTAAAGGCTCCTCTCAGCACGTGCAATGTGTACATTTCTCCTGCTGCTAAGCTGCATGGGAAGAGCTCTCATTTCCCCCATCACCCAGAGAGAATGGCCAAGGGCTGCATGCTGCCCTTTGGTTGTCCACCTGTGGTTTACAACGATGTGTGAATTAGACCATAGTTTACAGAAATAGATATGTTACATAGCCTGTTGTGAAGGGAACAACTCTACACAGGTAATGGATTTCGTGATGTTTAATTTTGAAATCTATACTGTTATTGAAGCGTACTATTGCTTGTTCTTTCAGCTCATCTATGGAGAACCATGAAGTTTTATGCCCATTTCCATCAATGTGATAACATTCATCAACAGAAAGTTCAAAACGTACCTGGTGGCTTAATAATTTATCACATTTGCTGATTGACATGCTTAACACCACAGCACATTCCCTATACCTTCACAAAACAGACAAACTTTATGCAGATTCTTCATTTTTAAAAGTTAGTAACATTACCTTGGGAATCACTGTCTGTCAATTCACCTGGCTGCACATTCAGATCCGACACTATTTCCTTTTTCAAAGCTAAATTATTCTTAATTAAATATTCGCTGATCACTATGGGACCGCTCTCAGAATTGTCAATAAGCTCTACTTCAGCACCATTTGTCGTTAAAGAAACTACTCTGGCCTGAATTTTCTTCCCAGCTGTGAACGTCTCAAGTGTTGTTGTAGCTTCTGCTGTCCATTCCTTATTTATGGGTCTTACACCTGAGGGGGGAAAATGTTTAAGCAGCCATTAGGGACTCTTTAGACAATGCTCTTGATGTTACTAAGGCTGCAAATCCCTTATTTTTACTAGAAAACTTGTATCTCAGTAAAAATGAATAAATTGTACTATAAATATATTAGAGGATTTTGAAAACCTTAGGGACCTGTTCATCATAAATTTAAAATCTTTTACATAAATATGTAAAAGATTTACATGTGCAAAACGTAGGAATATCCAAGAATAAAGACAGTTTCAGTATTTAGTAATTTCTAATTTGGAACAGTTTCTGGGTCATATTTATCCTACACTACTCTGTTGGTTGTGGCTTAACTGTTTTCTTACTCCTATTCCCTTAGGACAATTTAGCCTGAGATACAGGCTTCAAGTGCCTAACAGATTAATATTTTGGATCTTAGATTCAGGAATACACCTTAAACAGAAATATTGTTTAAAACAGTGTAACTTTATATCTTATTTGCAGTTCAAGAGATTTCTACTGAAGTAAGGTAACTGTACCTGACAGCGAACATTCAATTGCTTGAAATGGGAGTTTCATAAATGTAGATGTAATCTGTCTGATTTTGTCCAGAGTTACCTCTTCATAGTTTCCATAATCTACAAACAGAACTTTAAAAGCTTCAAATGAACTGGCTTCTTTCACCAAAGCCCGATACCATCGACCATCACCTAAATTAAGATAAGACAGAAACAAAGATCTTGTAATATCCAGTAAGCATACAAATAATTTACTCTCTCATTAAAAACAGTAGTCTGATCTTTTGCTTCATGTCTTACTTGGGCATAGACAGATATAGCAGATTGATGCTACCCCTATTTCAAAGCGATACCATTTTTAGTCAGACATTAAAGTTACTCTGTCATATTGTAAGAAAAGTACTAAGATCCTATTCAAGGATAATGGATAATAATAAAAAGAAATATATACATATCAAGACCTATCTTCAGCCCTGGCAACAGCTTAGTGAGGAGACTCTTCTTTGCCATCAGAAGATGGCAGCTTCCCTCTGACATGCCCCAGGGACATTTTTAAGGGAGTAGCTGCTAGGAGAACTGAGAGGGTATTTGTGGCCTTTTGAGTTTAGGCATAAATGCTGGGTGCCTGGGGTGCTGTCTAGGTACAAATGGTATCAGCTTTGGGGCTTCTTTGGGATATTATTAACTGACCTATTGGTAAGTGGTGTGCTTACTTCAATTTTGATACATTTTATAGGAACTGTTAATTCTTAAGAATTATCACATTATGTATTACCATCATTATACTATTGCATTTTTACTGTTTACTTTTTTGCAAACTGTCTTGAGCAGTATTCATATTAGCATGGAATGAAATCTACTGTTTCGTAAATCGCGACAATGCAGTTCTTGCTCCATTGCTCTGCTGGATGCCTTTCCTTCTAGGGAATTGGGGTGAAAGGAGCCAAGGCCATGAACTGCATGACGTTTCAATTGCTCAGTGTATGTCTAAATGCACCAGGTGTTGGAAGTACTCAGTTGGATACTTTCCACAGCAAACAGAGAAATGTGATTTCTATAAAATATCAATGCAATACAGAAGAGAATGAGCAATAAGCAAACTTACTCACCAGAGAAATAAGCACAGCACACATCTCCCTTTGTAACTTTGGAAATGTTTGGGGCTGTTTTCTGGCAATATGCTGCTAAAGATATATTGAGTTCTTCCAAAGCATTCAAGCCTGCAAAATTAAGATTGAAATTGCAACACTAACCACTGTCAAAAGTTTAATGAGAAAAGTCTAGAGGCCTTCCTTCCAATATATTGCTTAAGTCAGCTAACATCTCAACCTTTTCTAAAACAGCTAATATGGAAGAACTCCACCAAGCAATACTGCTGCTACAGAATTGCTACATAACCATATGATAGGAAGTTTGAATAAGTGTACCAATGATGGTGCTGAGTTTGAAAACAGTTTATAAATACAGTCAAACCTTGGATGTCAAACTTAATCCGATTCAGAAGCCCGTTCAGCTTCCGAAATGTTCGACAACCGAGGCGTGGCTTCCGAGTGGTTGCAGGAGCTTCCTGCAGCCAAGCAGTAGCCATATCGGACATTCGGCTTCCGAAAAACGTTCGAAAACCGCAACACTTAATTCCAGGTTTCTGGCATTCGGGAGCTGAAACATTTCAAAACGGAGCCATTCTGGAACCGAGGTTTTGCTGTATAAAGCTATTGAGCAATAGGACAAAATGTAGCTAGAGTTACTGTTTGCATTCCCCTCCTTTATTGCACTAATGGGGGGGGGGTGAGAGAACCAAACAAGATGCATGCAGGAGAGTGACAGAATTATGCCCTCTTAATATTCACTGTGCAAAATGGAAGAGGTTGCTCCACAAGATGAATGCTGTCTAAGTATAGTTGTTTGCACAAACAACTATGTGAGTGAAAAAAGCAATGACACACCTGTCAGGTTTCTGAGTCATACTTGTTTGAGGACACTGGATAGATATGTAAATAACAGGCTAAGTGTTGGGGCATGTGACTGAAAGAGAGCTATAGATGGCTGAAATATAAAAATTGATACACAAGGAACAGAACACTCAAAGGGAAAAAAAGAAAGATGTACCGTTATTGTCTAACAATTGGCAATAGAATTTGCTGGGGTTGTATAGCACGCAAACAAACACATTTACCACCTGCTTGGCTGTTAATGTGACCCTTGACCAATCAATTTTGTCCAGCTGTTGACCTATAGATAAATATAAAAATAACCATTAGGAGTTATGTTTTTTCAATGTTCATTCTACTGGTGGAAATGTAACAGATCCCCATCAGCAAACTCTAATATATTTCCCCATTTTTAGTTTCAGAGGGCGATTTGGGTAGACGTTGTCTGAGTATTATATATTAGGTACAACAAATATGTGATTAGCAACAGTGGAGCAGCAAAAATAATGAATGCTGTTCCTAAATCTGAGTCTTATTCAGTGCTGTAATATTCACAGTAAATTACTAATGCAGGTCAAGTCCTCAAGCTAGTTAGTTTTCACATACTCACCACTCATTTTTTGCAATGTTCCAGTGCTTGTTTCAAGCACTGCTGGGACAGTGGTGGCTTCTTCCACTGCACATCCCAACTCTAAAAGATATTTAGACACATTTATTGTTGGAGTCCTGGATTCATCTGTAAGTTTGACCACAAAAGTTTTGTCCTTCTCATTTATTACTCTTATAGTGAGTACTTTATTTTGCACCAGCTTCTTCATAACAGAAGTTGATTCTGTGGACCAGGTTGCAGATGCTGGCTTTACACCTTGAAATAAGAGACGGGTTTAAAAAATAAAAATAAAAAATTTACTCCTTTACAAGTTAGTTATTTTTCTTTGGAACAGAATTTTCTTTGTAATGATATAAGTCCATCAGCAATAAAAGTATATTTCTAACATTTTCGATCAGGTAACCAATTATCTGCATACCCAGCACATAATTCTCTATTTCATATTCCCGAAACAACAAAATGACACAAAAATGTTCTCCAATCTGCCTGGTGCAGGTTGCATCATATTGATGCATAATTGGGATGATTCTGTATCTAAATTCAGAAGCTGTACCAGGTACAAATTTTATGGCACAGCTTCAATTTCCATTTTGTCTCCACAGGTTAATCTCTTTGTTTCCCTCACTGTTGCAAAAAAATAATTGTGTCTGCTATTCCCAAGATGTATTTAGTCATTCTGTTTCATACCTGCTAAGGTGCACTTTATAGCCTGTACTGGTAACTCCATTAATTTTGGAATGATTGGCCGAAGTTTATTTAGTGGAAGGACTTCTATGTTACCATAATCTACATAGCCCACTAGAGCAGTTTTTTCTGAGATGTAGGACAAAACTGATGCACGGTACCACTGTTTGTCTTCTGGAAAATAAAAATACATTTGTCATGTAAAAATTATACGACTAACAACCCCATGCTACATACTGATTTTTACTGCAGCTACCGTACACAAGCGGTGGCTTTCATTGTGGCAGTAGAAGTCTGAGCCAATACTAGCCAAACTAGTTCTTCCCTGCACAGCAGTACACATGCTACTTTAGAAAACATCAGGGGCACAGATTTGCAAAGGTCTCCAGTCTCAAAGGATCTTGTAATTCAGGGCCAATAGGGATCCTACTGCTTCTGTAGAAAGAGCGAAAGTGCCAATGACCATGTAATACTTTTAAAGACTTAAAAGTCCAAGATCAAGTGAAAAATGCTCTGATATGCTCTGGTTTTATATAAAATGCCAGACACTGGCCATTAGGCCAATGAAGTGTGAATACAAAAACAAAACAAAACAAAACTATTGAAGAACTGAGCCTCCAATTTCTGCATATGGGTAAAAATGCTGGAAAGGCCCCAAAACTACCTATGTAAATCAACAGAAAGAACTGAGATCTCATCTTCGATAAATACCTCAGTGGTCCTTTAAATTAGTACAGGCTTATCTACACTTGCAAGCTATCCTTTATCTACTCTCCAGTCCTCTTGCTTCTTGACTCGCCTGCTCACCATTCACTCCTGCTCAACTCACAATGACCTAGGTCTCCATGATTCTGACTTTAGATGTTTTTCTTCCTACCAGATTGTTGCTTCAGTGGCTCCAAAAAGTGGACACACTTACTCTGGTTTTCCCTTCTGTGCTGGCATTTTTCATGGACCTGTTGTTGTCTCATAGCTGGTCTCTCTCCGTGCCAGTCTTCCCCACAATCCCTCCAGATGTTTTGGACCACAACTCCCATGACAATTGTTCGGGGTTGAATGCAGCTGCACTCCAAAATGTCTGGAGGGTCCCGATTTGAGAAGCCTGCCCTATACCACTGCTTTTCAATCTGCTGAAACATCTGGCTGAAGAATACTGTTCTACATTGCCCCTGGGCAACTTCTTCCAATCCTATAACATTCAGCGCTGATTTCACCCAGCTCTACCATGTACTTTAGAATTTTCTCCCTCTACTCAAATTCACATCTCCAACTGTCTCTTTTGTTATTTCTAATCTGCTGTTTTAACATTGCCTGAAAGTTAGTGGGTTGGATTCAACTAATGAATCACATTAGCAGAAGGCAGCACAAGGTCTTCCACTAGTGCAACAGAGCTTTTTGCTCCCACCCAAATTGGCACAGTAGGTAGGTAGGTCCGGAGGATACACAGAACTGCACATAGGAGAAGAGGGAAGATTGTTCCATCAGCAGAAGTATTTCAGCTTGCCAGATGGAACAATCTCTTTAGCCCTACACTGAATTTCTCCCAGTATGCTGAAGACTAAACTTCTCATATTTCATCCAAAGCTCTTCTTTCCTTGAATACTCTCTTTACCCAACTTGCAACATCCAACCTGCTGAACAGGCACAAAGCCTTGGCTTTATGTTCAACCTCTCTCCTTCCACATTGCTTTGTTTGTTGAAGCCATGTCACTTTACAACATTGTGAAGCCCCTCTCTGCCCCTCTGGCAAGAATTCTGGTTCACATTCTAGTAATATCTTTCCCTGACTTCTTCAACCTTCATTCCCGGTCTTCTGTTGTCTCGTCTCTCTCCAAAAAAGTGACCTCTTGTTACTCTGACACAGAACATCATTCATCAGAGCTCTACACAGATCTAGCACAAGTTCCTCAAAGCCCTCCATAGCCTTCTTCCATTATAGCTCTTTTCTTATACCAATATATCCTCACCCACAACTGTTACCCTTCCAGTTCTACCACTCTCAGCTGCCTGAAGACACCTGGCTTCCTCAAATGACTGTCCTTTTCCCCCTGCTGTCCGTTATGCTTGTACCAGCACTCTTACTTCCTACAAAAACCTCTTCAAAACTTAAGGGAAGGGCTGTAGCTCAGTGGCAAAGCATACAGATTCAATCCCTGGCATCTCTAGCTACAACTGAAAAAGACTTGTGTCTGAAATCCTGAACAACTGCTGTCAGTCACTGAGACAATACTGAGGTAGTAGGACTGATGGTCTAATTTGGCATAAGGCACCTTTTATGTTCCCATTTTGCCCATAAAGTTTCACCATGTGGGCTGCAATCTCCTATGACAGGGACTTGACTTCTTGCATTCTGTAAAGCACCACTCACTAGAGGCATACTTAAGCCCACAGATTTCCATGGGCTTGAACAAGTGAACTCTGTTAGATATAGGCCAACAACAGCAAATCACCATCATCAACAAGTAATACTTACCTGTAAACTGCGCACAACACAAGTCTCCTACTGCTGGGCAGAAATCTGGGGTAGCAGAGATTGTGTCGCAGTATTCACCCAGGGATACTTGAAGCTCAGTAAGTTTGCCTGACAAAACAGGTATGTGGAAATTGTTAAATAAAAAACCAAAATGTCCCCAAACCACAAGTAAGCAATATAAAAGTGTTGTACTTTCATTTGCCAGCAAATGCTGTCATTTGAATATTGTTGGTTGTTTGGAGGTTACACAGAAAGTCTAGGCATGTTGTGGATTATAAAGTGCAAACTAGAAGCTATAAATTAAGGGTGATGTTAAGTATTAATCTCGCACTTCAATGCAAAAAAACTCAACACCTCACCGCTTCCTGACATTTTTAAAGTTCTGTTAAATATTCAAATGCTATTCCTGCATACATGTTTACATTTTAATTTAACTAAAAACAAGGACTTACAGCCATTTTCCATCTGCTGACAAAAGAAATCTCCTGGTGTCTGTATGTGGGCAACCATACCCAAAAATGTATCTCCTATAGATGGCAAGATAACCTTGCGAGTTTGACAGCCACTATGATCCAGTCCTTTATGCTCAAGCTTCTTTTCCTGAATAGAAATCTTTTCCACAGTAGAACCTATGAAAAAAGAATCTATTATCAAAACCGGAGTTGCAGGTTTTACTGGTATTAAATAACAATTTAAGTAAAAAAACTTATCATCCTTAAGAGAATGCAGAATATCATTCATAGACACATTCATCCATCTATAGTAGTTTTAAACAAAATGAGACTCAGAAGACTCTCAATAATGCACTACCTCTCATGTGAACTAGGACACCACGAGCACAGCTTGAAGGAGCCAAAGAACTACCAGCTCCTCTTGAAGCTGTATCTCTGCTCAAAGGCTAAGGACCGAGGCAGCAACCCACAGATACAGCTTTACATTAAATTTTATCCCATTTGGAGCTATCACCAGAAAGGCAAGCTCAATATAACACAAATAGAGCCAACTCCCTTTCCTCCAGCGCCCATTAGGATGACCTCTAGTGTGAGGCACTGCATCTTCCATAACCTCAAGTGTTATAGTCCAAGATTCTGGCAACTCAACCCTCCAAATTAAAGCAAAAACAGCCCTTTGGACCTGGATAACCCAGCTGTAATGCACCTGTTAACTTATGGCTACACTCCAAAGCCTCATAAAGATGACACACATTTTGCACCAATAGAATAAACCTATTTTAGTATCTTTAGCAAGTGCATGCTTAAAGGTGCCTTGCTTTCATAAAGATATTAATCAAGATGAATTAAATAAAACAATAAGGACTCACCAGTAACTGAGTTTTCCTTGTTGCTACTCCTACTCTTTGAATTCAAACTACATCCAATTTCCAAGAGTATTTCATGTAAGTGTTTACCTGAAACACACACATTTGTTAATATCCATTCAAAAACAAATCACTGCCAACTGAAATACATCAGATCTACCAAATTTATCTGTAAAGTACTACTGTAAATAGGCCTACGACACATACAGTATTACAGATAAATTGGTGAATGACAGCTTCACAAAGACTAGTAAAAAGGAATATGCCATGCACACAAACATTCTGCCAAAAAAACAGAGTCCACTACACTCATCTCTTGTAAATTATGCCAAGTCAATATGAGCAGCTACTTCTCAAAACAGTTTTTTGTCTCCAATGCTTTGATTCTGGGCACTGACATATTATCCAAGGGTTTGGTCAAACAGGAAGAAAATACAGTACTCCAAACTTATGAAGCTGTTTCCAAGTCTGGCCACCAGCTCATTTAACCCAATACTGACTAACAGCACCTCTCCAAGTTATATACAGGGTCAGATGCACTTCAGTTTTATTTACTTATACTTGTATCCCACTTTATAGTCCCAATAGGTCCTCAAAGTAGCTTACAAAAAAATCTGCACATATAAACAGAAACATGGTGCCAGGCTTTTCAGGCAGCCCTTTTTTGTACTATTTCTTGGTACTGCCTGGTGTCACCAGGCCCATCGAGGATCTGAGGCAAGCATGACTGAGCAATTAGTTATTGGTCAGTCCATGATGGAACCAAGTCTTCCTTGATATGTAGGGAATGACATACAATCACTGTGCAATGACTCATCCACCCCAAGATGGGATACAATTGAAGTATCCGGTGAGAATCCTTCTAGTTCATGTGTCAGATTACAAAAATTAATGTTAACCATCACTGCTTAATTAACAATTCATTCAACAAAGAATATTACTGTTAATGAAACTTACCAGAATCTGCCAATACAACATCTACAGCAAAATAGGGCATCTCATCCACCAAAACATCAATAATAGTGAATGAGCAGCACTTTCCTATAAGAAATGGAGCAATAGCTTTGCTGCAGTTTGCATTCCATTTTTCTTCAGTTGGGAGGACATTAGCAACACAACATTTAATGGCCTGAAAGCAAAGCAAAAACAAAACACACTGTAAGGATGTCTGGCTTACTGCTGGTCTTTATGGCCATGTGTGCACATGTCCTTCAAACATATGCATGTTGGCCATTTAAAATTTTCATTTGCGTCTTAGTCAAGATGCCAGTTTTGGAGTCTCTAGTAGTTAGTAATAACAACATTCTGGCGTATTATTTGTCTCAACACACTTTAGCATTTGCATACACAGGTCTGTATTCGTGACACTCTAAATATCTGTGGTAAAGGTGCATTGTGTAAACTTATACTTACACAGGGTGGAATGTGCGCAATATCTTGGTGCAATCGTTTAATTCTATTTAGTGGCAAATTCTCTCCATTTCCATAATCAATATATAAAACCAGAGCACTCTTCTTAAGGATATCCACCTCTTTTATGAGCACTCTGTACCAGGTCTGAACATGAACAAGTTATTTTACATTATGATTTATTCTTTTTTAAGAAGAAAAATGATTCTTCTTCAACATAACAGTTGAACAACTACAATGGCAATTTTAATACCAGATCCTTCAATACATTTTTGTGCTTTTAAGCTAGTATCAGATGTAATTTAGAAAACAGAATAATACGCTGGACTTACTATGATTAGTTCATTTTCTGCAGGGAATGGAGGAGACTGTAATTGTGCTGAACTGAAAATGTTCAGTTTAACTGAGATACTAGTTAGTCAAACAATTCTACCATGAGCTGCTAATTCATTAATACTTGATTTATTACAGTTCACATCTTACTAGTAATCCAAAACACAGGTGTTTTTATCTTACTGCTACAGAATTACAGATTTACCCTACATTTGCACTAGGTTATCACAGCTGTGTGTGTGATGTTAGGGTTGCCATAAGTCCATAATTTCCCAGACACAGTCGATATTCAGCTCTCAATAACAGAGTCTGGGCGGAAATCAGTGAAATGTCTGGGGAAATCCAAACTTACGGGACACCCATGTTGGCATTGTAGATTTTGGCGAATTTCATAAAAAATACCTTTAAAAACTCTTTTTTGAGATTTTGGTGGGAAAAGCTCAACAACATTTGTGTCCGTATTTTCACTTTTTGAAATATGGCAACCATGTCAATAGTGCAGACTATTATATCTTCAGATAATACAACCATTAGAACTGCACAAGCAGAGATGGGAAACACAATGGTTGCAGCACACCCCAAATATTTATTGTCCACTCCCTAGTCACCTAAACTGATCCTACTCCCACGTGTGTGTAGTTTTTAATCTTTCTATAATGCTGCCTCACAAATGCTAGTTTTAACCCAAGCCAAAATCTTTATCTTGTCTTCAGATTCCAACAGCCCCTCTGCCCCAAACACTTACTGTGTACATTTATTTTCCAACAGTTACTAGCAGTTACCCGCAGGGAGATGGTTGATGGACTCAAAGTAAAGCTCATGGAAGTACAGATTTGTCAAAAGTATTGTTTTCACAGCATATCCGAGGGTGCCACAGAATTTTAAAAAATTAAATCCCACCCCAAGGGTTTCCTATAATTCTGTTCAGAGCTTTTTCGTCTACCTTTGCATGTATAGATTTTCTCTTCTATTAGGTGAGGTTTTTGAGACTACTGGGAAGGTTTTACTAGTTTATTTCCTTTTATTGTTCTAAATATTAGTAACTGTGACATCACAGGAAAAACACCTATTATTTTGTGTTTGTTGTGAACTGTCATACTTAACAGATAACAACTAAGAGGAAGATTTTAAAAAACAGTCCTTGGCTTCATCCCTCTAAAGTTAACGGGACCCCTGACCATTAGGTCCAGTCGCGGACGACTCTGGGGTTGCGGCGCTCATCTCGCTTTACTGGTCGAGGGATCTGGCGTACAGCTTCAAGGTCATGTAGCCAGCATGAATAAGCCACTTCTGGCGAACCAGAGCAGCGCACGGAAATGCAGTTTACCTTCCCGCCGGAGCGGGACCTATTTATCTACTTGCACTTGGTGCTTTCGAACTGCTAGGTGGGTAGGAGCTAGGACCGAGCAACCGCCGACCTTCTAATCAGCAAGCCCTAGGCTCTGTAGTTTAACCCATAGCGCCACCCGCGTCCCTTCATCCCTCTACTTGTACTTTATTGTATGCCTGTGGGAGTATCATTTGAAGCTATTGAACAATCCTACAGCATTTAAACTGCACTTTTATTACCATTTTAGTTTATATTTAAAAACATTCGATTCCCCGCTCCTCCACATGCAGCTGCTGGGTGACCTTGGGCCAGTCACACTTCTCTGAAGTCTCGCAGCCCCACTCACCTCACAGAGTGTTTGTTGTGGGGGATGAAGGGAAAGGAGAATGTTAGCCGCTTTGAGACTCCTTAAAAAGGGAGTGAAAGGCGGGATATCAAATCCAAACTCTTCTTCTATGTGACAGATCTCAGGTGACATAACCCATTATAAAATTTAAAATGTTACTTCAGAAAAACCATCTTGCCCTGATGAAAATTCCCAGGCATAATTTATTCAAGTGCCCCTACAACTTTCATCACCTTTATCTAGCAAAGGAAAATCTGGAGCAAATAACTGGCGTAGAATTATATTGCCAACCACCTCTCACTCTGGCAAAGTTATACAGCGCTGCTCACATCAGTTACACATACACAAACAAGACTTAAGTACATATCTCATTTTATGAACACCTATACTTTCTATAAATCAACAATGATAAGTTGCTGGCTGCAGGTTCTCTTGGACAGCCAACCACAAACCACCTGGTCCTTGAGTCCATTTGATAATTAAGTTACCTGATCCAGGGTATATTGTCCAACACTGACTTCACCTTTGGCAGGAATATATTCACCTTGGTTAATTCCATCGTAATCCTTCAATTTCACACTAAGCTTATTAATATTACTTAGAACTTCTGGAGATTTGACTTGAATGTAGAATTCACTTGGATTATTGAACTGTGTTACTGTTCCCTAAATAGAAAGAAAGCCATATAGCAAGAAGATTGTCTACAATGCTACATGTCATCAGTCAGAATCACTGCCGTTTACCTGCTGGTGGCTAGGCTGGGTGAGTGCAGACAATGATTTGTCCTGACTGCAGCTACCAGGTGTGGGACAGGTAAAAATGGGATCAGTTCCCAGGAATTCCCTAGAACAGTTAGTGGAGCAGTTTTGATCCTATTGGCTTATATAGTTCAAAGGGGATTGCTCTCTGCACCCATCCGCTTTAGTACTGAAAACTCCCTTTTGATCAGATGGTTGCTGATGACAGCCTCTTTTAAGTAGTTACCTGGCGTCACAATGATGTCAGGTGATTGACAGGTGGCTGTTGCCTTCCTTCTGTCAAAGCTGGGCTGCAGAAAGAAAGGGTCCCACCTGCTGGATCAAGTTCCCCACCCTTAATTTAGGTTATACAGGGAAGAAAATGAAAGCACTCATTTTCTAATCAGAAAACTTCAGCAATCAAAACAATAAACAAGTCCAACTGTGTTATTTAAGCAATATATTCTCTCTCTCTTTCTCCCTCTCTCTCACACACATATTTTTTAAAGTTAAAAAAAGGTTTGCTCTTTGTTGTTTGCCACCTTGTGGTGGAGGGTGGGCAGGATAGAGTGCAGAATACACACAGAACAAAACAACGGCTTGAAAGCAGAACTTACCACTATTTCCATATTTTTCTTGAACTCCAGTGTAGTCAGATCAGAATACACAGTTTTCTTGCCCTGCTCTTCTGTTTTGCTGGTATTCATAGATAAATTTTCCTATTGTAAACAAATTATTTTGCTTGCTTACTAAGCATAATATGCAACTACTGTATTAAACTGTTTCAGTGATCTAAAATACAGTGGTGCCTCGCAAGACGAAAAGAATCCGTTCCGCGATTTTCGTCTAGCGGTTTTTTCGTCTTGCGAAGCAACCCCATTGGCGGCTAAGCGGATTAGCGCTATTAGCGATTTAGCGCTATTAGCGGGCTTAGCGGCTAAGCTGTTAAAAGCCTATTAATGGCTTAGCGGCTTTGAAAAAAGGGGGGGAAGCAAAAAAAATATGGCGAGACTCGCAAGACGTTTTCGTCTTGCGAAGCAAGCCCATAGGGAAATTCGTCTTGCGAAGCGCCTCCGCGACGGAAAACCCTTTCGTCTTGCGGGTTTTTTGTCTTGCAAGGCATTCGTCTTGCGGGGCACCACTGTACTTAAATCATGTAAAGAAGGTGGTAAGTTAATGAAAGGAAGTTAATGGAACTAATGATTCCTGTTCGCTCCTTCCCCCCTTGCAATGAATCTCCAGAAGATGGAGAACCCTCCCGAGCTCTACCAGAGTCAGGCAGACTTCAGCTGAATTTCAGGAAGTTCCACTTTACATCAACCAGCTCTCCATGATATATTCCCCTAAATAAATTTTCAATGAGTGGCCCCACTGCTACTGAAACCCCACTGGCAAGAGAAGTTTGGACTGCAGTGTAAGAAGGATCAAAGTCAAGGGTAATATTGAAGACTATAATAGAAATATTAAAGTCATTACGTATCTTGATGGTCATGTCGCCCACACAGTCTTTTTACAGAACAGAATAAGTGGCATTTTGAGATACCATAAATGTAGTAGTATTCACTAGTTAAAAGAGGCAACAGCTTCAGCAAGAAAAGCAGAATATACTTACTGTCATTTTAAAATGACAAGAAATTGAGAGGCTGTTCAGAAAACAATAAGGAGTTTACATAAAGTGGGAAAGGAAGGAATTTATCATGTTTAAAATTTGTATCAATAGAGAAAAGGCAGTGAGAGTTGAAGCTAAAGCAGAAAAGAAAACAGAGAAAATGCTTGCAATTAGGCACTCATTAGCTGGCTAGCTGTCATGTAGTTAAAATTCTTTCCCTGCACACTTCCATAGGACACAGTGCCTATTCACTGTAGCCACAGCATTTTGCAATGTGCAGTAACTGCTATATTGATGAAGATGTGGGCTGTTCCAATTTTCTCTAGAAGTAGGGAAGGTATCACAAGAATGGGTGGAGGAGTGACCAGCTCCCAAATGAAGGTTGAACTGAGTGTTATTGGTTAGGATACAAAACCCAGTGATCACACTTAAAATGCTTTCTTCTAACAGAACTTCAAATAAATTTAATTGCAAAAGGAGTTGTTTGTGCCTCTTTGAATGCTGTTCAGAGGTCCATAACCCTTATAAGAAAGAGGTTTTTTAGACACAAGGGGAGGCACTATAGAGGAAATGGAACCAAAATAAGCTCACTGCACAATGTGGAGGCAATCTCATGGTTCTCTGGATTCCAGTTTATCACTGCAGGGTGGCAGAAGATCCCTTAAGCAGCTTCAAGTTCTCTAATGCCAATAATTCACTGTACTGCTGAGCAAAATATACTATTTGATACACAATACTATCATCTGCAGATGGTAATAATGCCCCATCCCCAACCACACAAGTGAACAACTCTAGTCATACCTTTTTCTTGATTTCATCCAAAGATTTTGCACTATCTTCAACTTTATCGGCACTAAAAATGAATTCTGTTCATTAGTATAATTGTTCTGTAAAGGTCAAGCAGTCCTGAATACACTCAAAATTGACCCACTTAAAGCAGTAAGCATTTATATGTTGCTTAAGAGACATAAAGTAGAGCCAGTTTATAAAACCCTTTACGACTTACTTATCAATAAACATTGAAGGCGTTATTAGTCCTAATATCTCTGGTTGAATTGACTATTTATTAAGGTAGAATGAGCATTTTAACTGTACACTTCCCACTCACCCCATTTGCATGCTGGCTTGGTGCTTCAATCCTGGTCTGTTTAAACCAGTTTCTCATTATGCTTAAAGTGGGGGACTCTAGTTTATTAACCCTTCTTAAGACAGTTTGATTCTGTTTGTAAACTAGGTTTTCAATTTGTGGCCAGTGTTCAAAACTCCCATTGTTCTAGGTGCATTTTGTGACAGGGAATTTCATTAACGCAAGCAGCTTCTGAGTTCAGGGTGCAATACTGCGCCTAAGATTTCAGATTAAAACAGCAGAGTAGAAGGAAAGGAGGACCTCTTTCTGCCTCCCCGCTTCCAGCTACTATCTGAAGACTGTAGAAGAGACCCTCTTAAGAATATTAGGGGGGTGGGCAGGGGAAGGACTAGACAATGTGAAAAATGTATATAATACTTCAGAAATATTTTAAGATTTCTTCATTTTCAGCTTTGTATTCTTATTTAAAAAGCATGCCTAGACATTCCATTGTTGCACCCATAACCTAGGTTTAAGGTGCCATTTAGCTCCTAGCTTTCATATCTTAGTTTCTAACACTGTTTTTGACATAATGGGAGACAGACTAGGATGGTACTGCTGAAGGTGGTGTGATACAAGGTGAGGAAAGAGAATGGCTCAACATTCATTCTAAGAATGTTATATTCAAACATGGTAGTAGCAATTTTCACTTCCATTCTTTGAGGACAACATACAACCTGGAATTCCAAAATAAATAAATAGACCACATATTAAAAAATGCAATACAGCATACCTAACTACACAACAGTAACCAGAATTTAGAGGATACTTGCTAAAACTCTTCATCACTAAGAATTACAATCATCCGATAACACCTAATTCAATTTTCTGAGTGCCATTCTTGACATAGCCAAAAGAGCCATGCATATGAGGAAAGTATCAGAAGACAGGGTAAAATCTGCAGGGTGCAGAAGTACAAAAGAGAGGAGGACCCTAAACGGGAGAATACCCTAGAAACTAGTCCAGTTAAGAATGAGTATATGTGGAAAGTGGACTGCTGTGGGTGGGGGAGAAAAGAGAGTGGAGTAACTAAAACCCAAACATAACCACTCCAACATTTTGCTGCAGATCTCACTTGTAATTCTATAGCCCTTTGCAGTATATATCTTAAGTGGTGGCTCCCCGACTGTTCAATGCTCCCAAGAGAGGCTTGCCTGGTGCCATCATTACATGTCTTTAGGTGCCAAGCAAAAACATTCACCTTATCCAGGCCTTTAGCCATTAAATAATCTATGGCCTGTTAAAGCTGTGGTGGTGAGTACTGTTATTATGAACATTTTATTATTATTATGATTATTTTTTATTATGCTGTCTGCTATTATGCTTTTTATTATGTGTTTGTTATTGATGCTCCATAAAATGTGTTCTTAATGTTGTACACTGCCCTGGGATCTTTTGATAAAGGGTGGTGTATAAACCGAATAAAAAACGATAAAATAAATAACTAAATAATATCAAATTGAGAACTGGGCTTTCTTCCAAGGACCTCAAGATGCTGCAAATAACACGGGTTATTTCCCATTTTATCATCAAAACAAACCTGTGAGATAGCTTAAGTTGCAAGATCATGCTGTAGTTCCTTGTATTTAGTCACACAAAATCCGTGGTGGCCCTAAATGTACAGTGGTACCTCTGGATACGAATGGGATCCGTTCCGGAGCCCTGTTCGCAACCAGAAGCGAATGCAACCCGCATCTGTGTGGGTCGCCGCTTCTGCGCGTGACATCATTTTGACCGTCTGTGCATGCGCGAGTGGTGAAACCCGGAAGTAACGCTTTCCGTTACTTCAGGGAGCGCAACCCGAAAGCGCTCAACCTGAAGCAACTTCAACCCAAGGTATGACTGTACATGCTAATTCACACAAAGTGCTTGAGCATCATGATCTGAATGGGAACCTATGTATTCATCTAAAATATGAGCAGAGTTCTGCTTAAATATGCATATGTTCCTCTTTCTGAAACATGACCACTAATGGGAGCTATATAAACAAGAGCAGCCCTACTGGATCAGACGAAATGCCCATCAAGTCCAGCCTGTCTAGTAGCCAGTCAGATGTCTATAGGGAAATAGATACAAATCCAGTTTCAGAGGAAGGATAAATTTAACGTATAAACTTACTTATGTTTAACTAGCTTACAGACGACACTATGCATTTGCCAGTCTTTCCTTTGACACTCCACTGAACAGTAATAGACCTGCTTACACCGTGTGCATCTCAAGGATCCTAAAGAGATTAACACAGCAACACAAAGCGTTGACATTACAGTATGTGGTCAGCAATTTCTGATTCAGTATCCAAGATTTTCTTCTGTGTTCCCATTAAGTTGATGGTCTTTAAAGTCAACCGCACATAGTAGAATTCTGTAATACTAAGCCTCTAGGTTTGAAAATCTTTATTATCCATTGCCATAATTTTGAAAACATCAATTCCCCCCTGCTTTGACATGGAAAAATGTAAGATGTTAATCAACATGGATAAGGTACCCTTGCATTTAGATAAAATATTAAATATAAGTATAGGTTAATTTTTATTTGTATGCAAATTAAGTTCATTCATGAATTTTACTTACAGTATCCAAAGCACTCTACACATAATTGCCTAGTAATCATTCATACATAATTCACAATTTTTGTTCAGATGTTTCAGTTGTGGTTGAGAAATGATGGCTTGTCTAAGATTACTAAGTAAGTTTATGGTAGATGAAGGACACAGGCTTTAATTGACACTTGAGTTCACGTTCCAATTTATAACAAAAAATCATAACTTCAATTTTTTTTAAAAAAAGCTTGCAAGGTAAGAGGTTGCACTGTCTATCAGATCAGATAACAGAAACCTACCAGACATTCTACAAAAATGGCATGTGGACCGGTGTAATTGATCACAGCCTGTGGATAAAGTATTGTCAGGAGCGCTCTGTAGTCTTCTCTGCTTTGCATGTTGTAAGGCTGAAGCATGCACCTGCAATATACATTTAGAATAGTTTGAGCAACATTTATACGCCTTAAAATAGTAAAATACTGCCACATAAATAACAGAAATGAAACCGGCCCCACCAAATTCTATTGTCACATCCACAAGGGAAAACACATGTACTATCAGGGTTAACAAAGGAAGCTGAAAATAACATTGGCGCTGGACTTCCGGTCGGCGCCAGCGCTTAATGGCGGTCCTTCCCTCGAGCTCCGAGGGAGGACTGCTCCGCAAGTTCGGGTCTGACCCGCTACGGCGAGCGGGGGACCCCTAAAATCACGGGCGCTGAAGCCCGTGAGCAAGGAGACTCGGCGGGCACCTTTGCGCCCCCCGGTACTGCAAAAGAGCCTTTTTAAAGGCTCCGGAGCGGCATCGGGCGTGAGCGCGGTGCTGAGAGTCGCAACCCAGCCTGCGGAGTGAAGCCGCGTTGCCATTGAGCGGAGAGCGCCGATTCCTTCCTGAATCTGAAATTCGACCATAATACTCGTGAGTAAGATTGAGAAATTTAAATCGGACATCTAAAAATTTGGAAATTTGGCTGAAAACGGGAAAGGCATAAATCAAGGAAGTCTGCCTCCCCGGACTGCATGACATCTAAAGCAACGGAAAAGTAGAACTAAGTAGGAGAGCCTACCCTTTTGGGGTGAGTTAAAAAAACATTTAGCTTCCACGATTTGGTAAAAGAAGTTTTGAGCTGGAGTGTAAGAGTGGACTTTTAGAAGTTTTCCTTGTGCTGCATGTAAACCCCCCCCTCCCGGGCCCGGGAGCGTCCTGTCTTTGAGCCTGTTGAAAAGGAAAGGAGTTTGACAGCTGTCAAAAGCTGTCAAACGGGCAATTTAAAGGGAAAAAGCTTGCTATTTAAGACCTCTCTGGATTAAATGTGATACAATTGAACTGAAGTGGTTGGAAACAAAGAAACAAGCAGCGAAGTGTGAGATTGTTGGGAAAAGACTACTAACTAGATTCCCCCTAGGGGGAATTCTGAGACATTACAATGGCTGCGGATGGAAAGTTACTAGCTGAGATAGAAAGAGCATTTTATCTTGTGGGAATTTTACAAGAGCAGAGCCTTGCAATGAATAAACAACTTGTGGCCTTGACTTCAGGAATAAGTAGCTCTGCTGAATGTAATGAGGAACTGTATGAGAAAAAATCTGCAGCTGAGTTGGAAGAGATATCGCAAGAAGTGAAGCAGACAAAACAAGTAAAGGAGAGAGAAATGATGGAAAATACTAACCAACAGAAGCCTTTACAAGTGGTTTACAAACAAAAAGACCTTTGGATTACATGGATTATAAATCTGCAAAAGAAGCGAAAGATGAAGGAGGAAGCCCCTGGAATACGTGGAATTCAAGAATTTAAAAGAAAGAAGAAATATGACTGGGACCTCCATTCTGACCTTGAATATGAAGGATTGGTGGAGCTTTTGCAGCAGTTGTTCTTAAGTGTTTCTGAGGGAATAAAATCCGGCCTGATTGGGACAGAACTCCTTAGAGATCCAAAGACCAACATGAAGGACTACCAACAAATCCGGCGGAGAGGAACGGAAAGAGACTTGAAGGCCTCGGACGTGAGGAATCCAGGCTAAGGGCTGTTATTTTGGACACATATTTGGAAGGGACGGAAACCGGGGATGGGAGGGGGAAAACAGAAATTTATGTTTCTTTTTTTTCTTTTTTGGGTCCAGTTAATATGTTCATATTTCATAAAAATTGTGAAATCGATGGAAGGGAATTTGAGTCCAACTTAGGATAAGGATTAAATTTTTTTATAAAAGATGTAATATTAATATGGCAAGAAGGGAAAATGATAACCTGCTGATACAATTATGGGAATTGGGATGTATGAAGACTAACAAATTTAGGGAAACTTAAAAGAAATTGATTTGAATAATTAGACCGAGGAGTTGCTGAAGAGGTATAAAACAAGGATGCAGGGAGGGGAAGGTATGGGGAAGTCCGAGAAATAAGGTTAGGAAAAAATGGCTATGAAATTATACATGTTTATATGTTTGTATGTTTGTGTATTGTTTGTGTATACTTTGTGTTTAAAAAACTAATAAAAATTATTAAAAAAAAAAGAAAATAACATTGGCGCTAATGGACACATGTAGAAGAAAATTCAGACTCAAATCTTGCAAACTCACAGGACTTATTTCATTTGCTGAGGATGGTAGGAAGGTACTGGCACCATTCATGGCTTCTGATTTCCCTACAATATAGAATAGTAATGTTTAGATATGACCTAGTTTTTCCAAGAAGTAGTAGAAGGGAGATACATTTCTAATAATTAACCCAGTTGGACAACCAGCTAGAGTTGCATGCTATGCACAATTAGGTGTAAGTTACGCTGAATTGAGATGGACTTACAATATTGCACAGCATGAAATCAATGCTTAATCATTAAACATTTATATTAACCACCACCTAAAGTTGGTAGACTATTCCTAAGCAAGCTCATAATGAGATAATTTAAAGCTGCCCATATGTAAACAGAACTCAAGAAGGCAACTGCCAAGATTAAGTAATAGCTACTCATTGTTCTTAACACTTACAGAGAAGTGATTTGATAACAAAGCTTCCAATTTTTCATCTATAGTAATGGTTGATTTTCTTTCTCCCTGCCCCCCTTTATTTTGCTTTGACACCAACAAAACGTGTTTACATCATTTGTTACAAAAAATACAAAATTAACAAAAAGTAACCTCATAAGTTCTGACAATAAATCTTCTTACATATAAATCTAACTTCCCGTCTTCTCCATACTTCCTTTAATATTTACTAACTTGTTGCAGTTAATCAACAAGTAATGGTTGATTTTCTAATAAAAGAAAACTTAACCTTCTGCACAGCTGAGCTTCAACACTGAAGCCTGGATGGGTGGGTTGTGGGTGGAAAATGACCGAGACTGCTCATACGATACAAAAACTGTAAAAACACAGCACAAAAATGTTTATTGAAGAAAAGCATTTGTTATATAATACACATTTTAAAGCTGAGGTAGTGCACAACTGGAACAACTAGCCATTTCCATTTTCAAAGGTTTCAAAAAGAAAGCAATAAAACAATTTAAGTACTATAAGTGAAATTGCAAAAGCAACACAAAAAATTAAAGGTATTAAAACTATTTTAAAATGAGGTATTTTCCTACCTCTCAGTTCCCCTCCATTCATTTCTGATGTGGTTCTCTGTCTGTTAAAGCTACCATGGCAGCCATCATAACTGCTTTCACTTGAATTACTGCTACGAGTTTCAAAAAACATGTTAGCCTGCTCACAAATCGAGAAATTGTTGAGAAATTTTGAAGTTTTATCTTCTTCAGGTAAAGAGCTTTTGAAGTTGGGACCTGTGCTGGGACTTCTCAGTGATTCATTTTGAATTTTGAGTTCTTCATTCCTTATAAAACGATTTTGTGCCATCCTGTGCGCATCCGTATCAGAACCAATTCCCTGACAGCTGTAAAGTTATTGTTTAGCAACGAGGAAGATGAAAAGAATAAAAAGCAATTAGCAGCTAAAAGAAAATGTGTTGAATTTTTAAATATTCCAGACCAAGATGTCCTAAGCAAATTTTCATTCAATTTTCTGTATTCTTTTTTTATTAAAAATAAAAGTGGAATAAAATAAGTTATTCTACAGAAAATACAAAAACCAGTTTTAGCATTAATGTCTTCCCACTAGCTTCAAACAATCATATTAGGGATTTAACAAAACTGCTGGCACTCCTGAAGCCTTGGGGCATGTCCTCAAGGGACAGCCACATGTTGATGTTTATTGGTACAATCCAGTACTCAGCCAGGTAGCATCAGGGCTCAATGGAGCAGTGTGCCGCAACTGCAGCCCTGCCACTCATTCCTGAAGGGTGTAAAAGGGGTGGGGAGGTAAACTGTTGCACCAGTATGGATCTGGGGCACATATCAATCCTGAATCAGGCCTAATGCAGTCATGTGACAGCAGTGGAACCAGTTTGGGATCCAGTGTTCCAGCTGGAGGAACAGGGAACTCAGTTCAAGTCAACCAGCCCAGAACAAAAGGGGTATGAATTGCTGTGTTAATGTCCTTGCTGAAACAAGTGAAAGCAGAACCTGAGGTGGCATTTAGCAGCAATTCCCAGTAAACTATCTTGCATATAAAGCCAGTTATCCTGTTGTTTTCTAATAAGGAGAAGGCAATGAACACCATAGCTGTCATATGCACCAATCCAGTTCATCAAAGTTTGTACAAAAGTCATCAGCAGATAAGCAACAATGCAGAAGGTGATGCTTCCACAATGTGACTGGATACTGCAAATCAACTTTACAAAAAATAGAAAAGTTTAATCTTTAATTGGAAAGGATGGATTCTCAACCCACACAATTGCATCAGCAGATCTTGGCTGTTACATGGGCTGTACATGTGCTCCTAACTCCCCACCGATCCACCTCTTGTATACTGCTAGGTCTGCACATAAGTGGGAAAATGCATTAAAACACAAGATAGCAGGGGCTATAATTTCATTTCAATATATAGTTCTTGAATCCCTCCCACTTGATACAGCTTTTGGATAATCCCCTTCTCATTATTTAAAATAAGAGAAAACTGTGCAAGAAAAAATGGCAACTTACAATAGAGCAATGCTAATAGAGTCCTTTCCATGCTGTTCTTATTTTCTACCTGCAGGAAAATCTGTCTCTCTCTCCCCTTTTCCTTTACAGTACAGAAGCCTTTAAAAGAAAACCTTATTTATCACCTCAACACTCTTCTACTGCATGTATAGATACGGCCCTCCAATGTCCATTCTACACGTCTTAAAACAACTGGCTGGCATGTAACTAAACTTTACTCAGTGTAGACCACTGAAATTAATGAACCTAACTTGGTCATGTTCATTAACTTCCATGAGCCCACTCCAAGTTAACCTTAACCAAATATCACCTGATCATTTTACGTTGTGCAGAGTGCACACTGGTGAGTCGAATCTGTGCATGCCGTAGAACTTAGTGAACTTTGATCACTCAGCACTCTTTGCACAAGGACAGGTAAGGGTAGTGTGCCTTAAGTCAGGCCCATTAATTTCAGTGGGTCTACCCTGAGTAAAACCTGAATATCACCTCATTGACCCAAAGCACCTTAACCCAGAAGCAAGCTACCTGATTTCACCAGGATTTAGTGAAATCAGATGTGAAAAAAGATTGTGGCATAATATCAACTGCTACACAAGCCACGCATGGAGGGGGACGACAATGGCAAGGCAGATGTGGGTTCACGGTTAAAACCAGGGACAACGAACCCGGCACTCTCCCCGCGTCTGGACTCCCAGCTTCCCCTGACCATTAGGCAGAACCGGATTTGGGTTTAATGAGGCCCTAAGCTACTGAAGCGGGTGGAACTGGCCACATGACCCAGAAAAACTGTCTGCGGAGCAGACTAACGCCAGCTCCCTCGGACTATAAAGCAAGATGAGCACCGCAATCCCAAAGTCGTTCGCGGCTGTACAGTGGTACCTTGGGCTACATACGCTTCAGGTTACAGACCCCACTAACTCAGAAATAGTACCTCGGGTTAAGAACTTTGCTTCAGGATGAGAACAGAAATCGTGCTCTGGAGGCGGCAGCGGGAGGCCCCATTAGCTAAAGTGGTGCTTCAGGTTAAGAACAGTTTCAGGTTAAGAACAGACCTCCGGAACGAATTAAGTACTTAACCCGAGGTACCACTGTATGTAGAACGACGACAGTAAGTTCAGGACTGCATGGAAATGACAAAATTCCAGCTTAATGCCAGCAGCAGAGGACGAAATTAAAAATCCAATAGAAAAATAAATAAAGCTAAATTATTTGGAAACGAAGGAACATAAAGGCTTAGATTGTAATCTCATTTATACCTATTTTGAGAGTAATAGTAGTACCTTGGGTTACATACGCTTCAGGTTACAGACCCCACTAACCCAGAAATAGTACCTCGGGTTAAGAACTTTGCTTCAGGATGAGAACAGAAATCGTGCTCCAGAGGCGGCAGCGGGAGGCCCCATTAGCTAAAGTGGTGCTTCAGGTTAAGAACAGTTTCAGGTTAAGAACATACCTCCAAAACCAATTCAGTTCTTAACTCGAGGTACCACTGTACTTAACTGTCAGGGGTCCCTTTACCACTTTACCTTTTAAGCTAGTGAAGGTAATGGACCCTTTATATGTCCAGCTGTCCTTTGTCAACAACAAATTGTTGCTGTTTTTTGTGTTGAATATATGCTACATGGTAATTTATGGACCTATTATTACATCATAGGAGCCTACACAACACAAACACTGTTGCTGTATGTAGGTTTTATTTTGTTTTTTTATCTTATATTTTGGAAAAGTACATCCAGGTTATTTTCCTTTAAATTTTTCTTGGGGGCCCCAACAGAGTGGGACCCTAAGCTATAGCTGGTTTAGCACTACCACTGGGCAATGCTGCCCAGGAGTTGGGAGTCCAGAAGTACCTGGAGACCTACAGGTTCCCCACCCCCCCACCCCCGAATTAAGCAGCAAACCGCCGCGGGCCCTGCCCTGAAGGGGGCCTAGCGATGCTCACCCACGCGGGGCCCCCTCTGCGGGCGTTACCTGAGGCCTTCCTACTCCCAGCCCTGCGCCCCCGGGGACGGAGAGACGAGGACAGCTGCTGGACGCGAGGAGGGAGGAGGTCTTTGAAAACCAGCTCCTTCTCCTCGATGAAACCCCGCCAGAAGCCTAGAAACGCGCTTCAGCTCGCTGCCGCCACGTAAAGGAAAGAAATAACGCCCTCGACGACGCCTCCCCGGCTCTCTCTCCCCGCTCCGGGCGCCTCGTGCGCCGACCTCCGAAGTTTTATGCCTAGCTTCGCACCACTCCCCTCCCTCGCGAAAACTGCCGCGTAATCTCAAGGGCGCATGCGCTTGCCTCGCGGGCAACAATGCGCTCCGGTTAACCTGAGCGGGAAGGACTTGCGGGGCGGGGGGGGGGGGAGAGAGAAGCCAGAAGTGGGGGCTGCAAGGAAGTTAAAACGAAAGGCAGTTCGCGCCGTTTCTGCTTTGCAGAGGCACGCATGCCCGCGCCACATCTTTTGCAGCTTTCCAAACCTACAAAATCCGGTCGCCTGTTCTGGGTGCGAAGGGGCTAATTAAAAAAGCGTCATATTGGAAGTTCCAAAACATTTTCTCTCTTGGATCTGCTGTTTTCTGCATCATTTAGGTTTCAAAAGGGGCCATCCTACCCACTATTTAACAATCCTGGTGGTTCTATGGACCGCCTTTTGCACGTCGCAAACTGCGCGAACCAGAGGGGAATATTAATGACAGTGATTATGTACTAGGCTCCAGTGCTGCACTACTTCCTCCTCCTCCTCCTTTTTTATACTATAAAATCGTTTTTCAATTTAACAGGCAATCGGTTCTGGCGGTGGGGCTGTGAAAGTTTTTGCAGTCTGACTCAGTAAACAGCAGCTCTAATCCCCTGAACCCCGTGCGGGGGGTAACCTGAACCCCGACGCACCCAGCCAGGTACCAGGGAGAGCCATCCCCCTCCCGGTTCCCTATTGCTCTTGTCAATGGCACGCCCGTGGCAGATGGTAAAGGCTGCAGAGCTTTCTGGTGACTCAAGCTGTTTGGCAACGCGAGGCGAGGTGCGCGATCCGGAGCCCTCTTTCCTCCCCCCCCCCCGCCTCTCTCTCCTCCTCCTTGCAGGCGGATAAACCAAGTCTCGCCCCGCCTCCGCTCCTCCTCTCTCAGCTGAAACCACTCTGGTGTCTGCGGCAGCCATCTTTGTTGATGTGTCAGCTTTCAGTTCCTCTTAGGAGCTTGCAGCAGGAACAAGGGGAGGAGGGAAGGACGACCCCTCGTTACTATTAGCAATGGGAGGGCAGCTACGCTCGCCAAAGATCTTCTGCTTTCCAGCTTCCTAGCAAACTGGTAAGAGCTATCCTGGCAGGGCGGGTGTTCAGACGTGGTTTTTTGGAAACACAAGCAATGTGGATTGATGTAGCTTGCGAGAGCACCTGTTACTAGGCAGGAGGAGTGGGGTGGGGATGGCAGATCTTGCCTGGTGTGTTTTGTTTCCCAATTGCTTCTTTAGAGTTTGGAATGGTTTCGATGCCCCCGATGCTGAACCTTCTAAGGTGCTTCCCGGCATGTTTCCTCCCTCCCTCCCTCCGGAACATTTCTTAGCATAGTAAAACTAGGCTGCGTCTCCGTGTTAGATTTTTGGTTTTTTCCATTTCTTTTAACCACATTTTTGGCTAAAAGATGGACTGAAGTCCCCCTCTAGAAATTGAAATACAAACTGGTGTACCTGCTTTACCAGGAAGTGAAATAATAGGTGAGTACCTTGCCCTCAAGGTCACACACGCACACACACACACACACACACACACATACACATCATTGTATCATACTGTCTGAATTCCCCTGCTGGTTCACATTTCAGAGATGCCTTTGTACAGGTGTGTGGGTGTCAGCTGTCATTAGAAAGCTTGTCTGTCTAGTAGGCTTTTTGTTTATACATCAAAAGTTGTCAGGTGGCCAAATTGCTCAGGACCTTTAACATTCTGACCCCAAATATTTACGGTTGTTCTCTGAACGTGACACCTTTTATGAACACACACCATCAGTATTGACAAGAGTTGCTTAATAAAGTATTGTTCTGTCCCATGCAAAGCTTGGGGAGGGATTGTATTTACTGGTTTCAGCTTTATTGATGTCAGTTTATTGTGAGATGTGGAATTTGTCTAAATGTAGTATAGGAGCAGACAATGCAATACAGTACTTTCATTCAGTTAAGCTTCGTAGCTCTTCTTGGTTCATCTGCTGTGCTCTTCTGTTCTGCATAATTTGCTTGCATCTGAGGCTTTTTCTCAATGGAAAATGTTTCTTGCCATTTGTACCTGCTTCAAAGCATTGAGATTAGGAAAGCTTTTTTTCTATCTTGGTTTCTGCTTTTTCTTTCTTCTGTTATCAGTTAGTAGCCTTTAGATATTGCACATCAAGTGTTTTTGCTAATCATCCTCCTGAGATTTAGAGCCTGATTCTATATCCCTGTTTGTTTAGGAGTAATGCTACTGAATTCACAGGCATTTACTGCCAGGTAAGTGTGCATAGGACTGCAGCCTTTGTTATTGTCTTTGATGTTGAGCTATTAACAATGGGCTCTATGGCTTCCATGTTGGAAAACCAGAAGGCCTTATTGCCTGTAAAACCATACAATATTATGAATGGTCACTTACATTATGGCCCTAGTCCCAGAAAGCAGTTCGTTCACAAAACCATTCCACACAGTTTTTCCACAGTATATTTTAATGCTGCTACAAGTGTCTTCCTGGGCTGACTGTGACAAAGATAAAATCCTATGTACTGAAGCATTTGTTTCAGTCAAGTGCCTTTTCTCATTTTGGGGTGGGTGAGTGCCTTTCCCTTTGTTAATAACATTATATATATTAAAAATAGAGTTTGGTTATTGATATATAATAATCCACATAGCTTAGGTACAGGTTAGGGTTGTCTTGTATTTCATTTTTGATCTGTACACTTGATAATTGTTGTGGGCTATGCAAACAAAAGAACTGTTATCTGAAAGCTTTGCTGTGATGTGATTCTAAGGCCAGCTGGTATGAGCTGCTGCTACTAGATCTGTTTATTTTTAAAATATTTATTTCCCATCTTTCTAGGCAAAAGAGATATTCAAGGCAGGTTCCCAAAATAGCAAAAAAGTGCAACATGTATTAACATTAAAGGATATGTAAAAAAGAAATACTGAAAAAGAAGTAAGCCGACAATATTGATAACTGAAATAGCATAATCATCTCTAATCATCTCACCTCAAAAAACTTGGCAGAACAAAGGTATTTAGGATTGGTCTTAAACATCTAGAATGAGTGTGTAAGATGTTTCATAGCACCTACTGCACTATTCCAGTGTCGTGATCTGTAATACTCTATTGGCATTTCAGGCCAGTTTCTCTATATTTTTTGCCTTTCTATGTGTTTACATAATGGGTTCAGTGTGCCCAAAGGATAACTGATCAAAACTTATTATTTACAAAGTTTCAGGTGCTGCTGTCAAGTACTCATCTACTCAGTGTAGGTATCTGCAGAAAGAGCTGTGCGCTACTGCTTATCACGCTTTGTCCAGCTGGAAGTGGAGGGCTTGGACTCAAACAGTTGAGGGTTCAAAATGGATTTAGCGTAAGGTCTTCAGCTCCTCTTAATTTGCCTCTGACAGCTGTCGTTATTTCAAGTTGTTGCAGCTATGCATGTATATGTATAAGATCAGGTTGATAGGCTAACTACATTTTGGCAAGTGTCTGAATAATAAATATATCTCTGCCTCTGTCTGTTACATTAAAAATACATTCTCCGTTTAAGCAACCATTTTTAGATTGAAAAAAGGAACAGATTGGATATAGTAATTTATTTTGTCAATAAACTGTTTTAATGCCTGTTCCTTTTGGAACTTGATTGGTTGGTTGCTACCCCCTTACTGTGCTAAAACCCAACATGAGAAATGAATGGGAATTAAATTTTGAGCTGTAATTCTCCTGTTGACGGAAAGGAGCAAAAAATATTGGAAGAGAGTTGCCTCTCAGAAATATGCTTCTGAGTTTTCCTACCAGGCTACCATACCCCTGCTTCCTATCAAGCTATTATTTGACTCTGTGTAGAGACTTAAATATCATTTATGATAATAACCATGTAAAAAATACTTTCAGTAGAAATACCACCTTTATTAAATTTATATCACAAGTTCTACATTGATTTTTCAGTTAAATCCTGACTGCAGTTTGTAAATCTTTTTGTTGTCTATCCCAAGCTACCAAAAATAAACATGAATAACAATTCCAGTTTCTGGAAGATGCTTTGACTTGGATTTTCCTGGGAAATGAAGTTCTAAAGTTCAGGGAAAACACCTCTGTGCATGCTAGTTCTGATTTGTTGCATGTGTGGTAAATATAAGATTGTGTTCCTAGATGCTCTTAAACTTAAATGAAATGAAATGCAGAGATGGGCCATGTAGGGCTTTCACGGTCATTATCAGTGCCCTGAACTAAGCATTGAAGTAGTGGTTTCATGAGTTTTCAAGCAAAGACTCAAGCATGATCAGGCAAGAACAGCCTTGCCTGAAACCCAAAACAAACCAAACTCTACTCTCATTAATCCTATGGGGCTCTCCTTCCCAAAGGTCCAGAAACTTACTTTGGGGCAGAGGAAATGCTGGCAGATGTTCCGCTCCCATGTCCAACAGACGACTGGGACTACAAGCCCCAGAATCCTTGGCAGGAAATAAATACTATATTCACCATTTCTTCTAATGAGAACACCCCAGAGGGCGTTCCCTTGTGGAAATAATGTGGAGAGCGTAATTTTCCTGCAGGAGTCCCTGATCAGAAATGACATTCCGCCAGGGTCTAGGAGTATCTACTGCCTGCACCTACATCTTTCTCCTGTCCCAAACTGAGTTCCTGAACTTTAGGAAATCAGGGAAGAGAGTGGATGCTTTGTGAGCACCTTCAAATCTTTGTGACTTGGTTGTTTAGAATTTTCAGAAAGGTCCAGCCCCTTTGGGAGCACACAGTTGGGTACTTCTACAACACTGGAACTTGCTTGTCATCTATTGATATGTCATTGTTCTGTTTTTAGTGGTACTTTCTCCCAAGTAAATGCATATAGGATTGCAGTCTTGGTATCCATATATGCAATCAAAGTTAGAATAGGCAGTATCAGATTACCTGGTAGCAATGACCATCCTACAGTGTGCTTTATGAACATGCCAAAGCTTTATGAACGTGGCAAACCAAATGACTGTTGGTTTTGTTGTTAATTTGCGAGGGAATGCTTGTTGACAAAATACTTACTGGGTCCACAAACAGTAGAAATGCTGTGTCCACAAACAGTCAGTAGAATAACTGAAGGTGATTTACTTGTTACCATGTGATTTAGCAATGGATACCAGTTATTTCAATATCCTGATGTAGCTGATAATATGACTATGTATACAAAAAGAGAGGTGTAAGAACTGAAGCCTACCAGAAAGTGATGTCTTCTGCCATGAAAGCCCTGACACTTAATTCTCAATTGTGTGGAGGACTGGCTATGGCTATGGAGTGGTGAGGAAAAGTGGTGAGGAAAACACTCTGCCTATGTTCTGAGGTGCTGTCCTTTATTACTAAGCAGAGGGTTGAACACTTGCTGTGCAGTGCAATTTTACACATGTCTATTCACAAGTTGCACAGACTTCAATACCACTTACTTCCATGTAAGGGTGTGCAGGATTGCCATCTTAGCTATCTTTTCTGATGTTGGCTTTGGGGCAGTGATGAGCAACAAGCTTTAATCTTTGTAGCCCTGCAATAAGGGAAGGGGGGGACCAGTTCTTTTCAGTCTTGCAAACCTGAAAAGTAGTGGATCATGGACCCTAAACTGCATAATAAGAGAGTTGTGTTGTGCAGAATGGGCAATGCCCCAGTTGCCAGAGGTGTACACCAGCCACAAAATCTTAACTTGTATCTGTAGCTTGGGGAAGCAGCCCAATCTATTTTGCAGCTGCTCTGTGTATTTCTAATTCGACTAGTTACTCAGGACCAAATTAGACATGTGAAAAATAAAGCTGTGCTCTTCCTACCCCTCCACCCCACTCTGGCTGTCCAATTTACTATAATGGGGAATCTATAAATGACTGTAACTTATTTCCTCTCGCCAGAAATGGATGGACTTTTCAGGCATAGGAGTCCCTCCAGAGTGGATTGAGCCTGTCAAATAGTAAGTTTTGTGCAGAGTACCAAGGTTTGTTTGTTTGTTTTTGTTTTTTTAAAAGGAAATTAGCTTCTGCCAGAATTGGATGCAATTTACAGACATGGTTGCCCCTTCTGAGGAAGAGAAAGCTTGCTAAATTTCAAAATGATTGCTTACAGTGGTTCTCCT